GAAGACTTATATATTCTACATCTTCACCTATCTCCTTCTCCGTCTCCTTTTCTACCTCACTTACAGATTTTGTGCTTGCCATGAGAACGCTCTTCACCCTAAAATATGGAGTTCGTTGTGTTATAAAAGGAAACCAACACACACACTGCAAGGGAATGATGGTACATAAAGCACGTAAGCCCACAATATGGGTTTATGTGCCATTAATATGGGCCACATGCCATATTATTAGATTTATGCACGTGTGATTGGTAAATGCATATGTCACATCATCTTTGTTTTACCTCACACACTATATCAAGCCTCCTCTGATTCAGATTCGGATTGTTCACCTTGAAATAAAATACATTAGAAACTTACTAAAGGAATATTAATGAATCTCACCTTGAACTCGGGTTATGAATGCTCTTGCTGCATCTCTTGCATGGTCTGGCAAGGTGATGGTGGCACTCTGCTTCCGCATCCAACCATGCACAACATTATCCACCGATATGCTCATGCTGGGATCCCTTGGATTCAGCACCCATCTCTTTTCTAGGCAATCCTTCGTATATCCGGAACTTGGCTTGAACCACTCCACAGTTACATTGAAGGAGTTAGTTTCCGCGTCCTCCTCTGCATCAGTGATGCAGTGCCCCACCCATATCATTTGTTTTTTATTACTGGGTCTGACAAGCACGACCATTCCTTTGCAGACCTGTACTGGATTGAATGCTGAATCCGGCTTCTTGTTCCTCGGCCCACAATAGTGATCCTCAACATCATTATCTGTCACTGCATTTCCAGAGGACATTGTTCCGCTACTATCTGGTGCTCTGGGTTCTGGCCAAAAGGACTCTTCCAATTCTTCATATACAACCGGCCCATTTTGGATAGCAAATATAATCTTCTCCCAGTATTTGAGCAAAGGCTTGCACCTCTTAAAATAGGATTCTATACCAAACACCAACCCCCTCTTCCAGAAGGCAATATGCTGTCTAATCCCGGCCACTATACTTTCCTGGTCTTTGAGTCCATCCGGGTGCATCGGCTGTGGGGAACCCTGAGGAATCATAGGTTCCCCAGTTATGGGATCTCTCTTGAAGAGTTCAATGCCATCCACTGGGAGCCACACTGTGTCCCATTCTCTCATCTTGTACCTCATCACTAGAGCACCGTCACGCATGCTGAAATGAAACTGAAGAGGCTTGGAGTGGCCAATCAGCGTTTCGGATCCGTCCCTGATGTAGCCTCTTACAAACCCCTTAAAGTCTGGAACCTCTGTCACAAGTGCAGCTTCAACAGTGCCTTTGATGCAATTTTGGAATTCATCGTAGAGTTGTGGGAGGGTGAGGACATTGGATCGCTGGAGGGACTCTGCCAGGTGACTGAACATGGCATCGACGTCTTCATGAGTGTGCCCAACCATGAGAAAGCCAAGTGTAACCGTTTCAAATATGCCTTTGGCAACAAGCATCGCCAAGTACGCGAAGACGTACATGTTTTTGTTCTCACTGCCAGCATTGTCTGTTTGGAGCAGAAGATGGGGTGGAAGGCCACATCGGCCGCAAGAACTTCCTTGAGATTCTGCTTCATTTGGATGAGGCTGTGCATTCACCGGGCGACCAGCCTCGTCGGAATGGCATGAGGCCTCACGTGATAACCCTACAATCTGACGGCCAACATATTCACTGGGATGGCATGGGGCCCCACGCGATACTGCAAGCCTTTGCTCCTCCTCCAGCTGAACCCTGTATGGGGTTCGATCGACAAGGGCCTTATGCAAGGGTTGGCCGTTCAGCTCAGTCTGCGCACTTTGCAGAGACCTTAAGTGTTTTGCTAGGGACGCAATCATCATGTTTGCACCCCCGCCACC